CCCCCATGCCCCTTCCCTTCCCCCTCCCTTTCCACCACAACAGACTTACCAGCTGAAGGCAGCACTCCACGCTGTATTGGAAATTGGTTTGGTATCAGCCAATATGCCTCCTTAAAAATTAGATATCAGTATCACCGTCAAAACTCTCTATCAGTGCACCCCTAGTAATAGACATTTGCTGCGAAAAAGTAGCAGAGGATTTTGCCACCTTTTGTTGCATGGATTATTTTTTTTCACATGGTACAACCAAGGGTATCGACATCTGTTTGCTCAGCATCCATCCTGTTGTTATAAATTTTTATTGTTTATGGTTTTATGGCCCAAACAAGATGTCTGATGGCTTCTGTTTCCACTTTGACATTTAAAGCAGCCTAAGAAATGTAGCTCTCTGCATCCCTAACAGTATAAAGATTATATCATCAGTCATTGTAGAACAAAGAGAAATCCAAGGATGTGGCCCCAGGTGAAGGGCAAGTGGAAGTGTGTGTGTGTATGTATGTATGTATGTATGTATTTATTTATGTATTTATAAATTATAGATCTGCTCTTGAATTTAACTATCATATTTATTCAAATACAAGATAAGATTTTTTTTTTATAATTGGATACAAGGAAAATCCATTAAATATACTGTCCATTATTAAACTGCTGCCAAAAAGCAGCATGTGCTCAGTAATATAAACCAACTGTGAAGCTGATTAAATGCAGCCAACCCTGAGCATGACTGTAGAACATATGACCCATAGGTTAGTGCAGCCATCTGAATAAAATATATGCTAGTGTACATAGTCCTCAGTGCCGACTCTTTTTTCAGGTCATGGTGAGCCACTGCATTGAATACATTTCAGTTTACTCTTCACTTCCACAGCTGAGCTGCACCTTTCTTTCCCATCCAATGATTCCTGTTTCTTTACCAGCCTTAAGTGGCTGGGAAACTTCACCAAACAGGGTCCCAAATGGTTTACCCAGAATCCCTCTATCGCCCCCTCTTTCTGTCACACTTGATTAGTGTAGCTCCACCCTCCATAAGGTCGAGTTGGACCAGGTGGCTCTGTGCCTGATCTGTATATAGTTTTTTTGTGGGGGGGATCCTAGGACTCATGACAAGAACACCCAGTTCCAGGAATGAGTGTGTGGGGGGGTGGTATCTGGAATGTACAGGCATATTGAGCAGTGCTGAGCTGTGGGGGCACCATGATTTTAAAAGCTGTTGAGTCATTGGACTGGGCTCCAACTGAAATATATAATAAATCATGAGCCTTTTAGCTTTGGACTAATATCTTGTATGTTTTATAGTATGTATAAGAAAGTACAAAAATGCCACTTAAAAGTGTAAGTTTATAGAGTACCTTGTAGCAGTTTCCAAAAAAGGCAAAATACCTCAATTCCTTATGAACTAAATCTGTGAGTACTTGTTGTAATTTTCCAATATGCAGTTTTTCTCCTCTTTTCAGGGAGAGCAGGGTCAAATGGTAAGCCGGGAGAGAGGGCAGAGGTGCTACCTGACCTCCTAAATTTGTTTTTCCAGGTGTAGCAGGGGGAGGGGGACAAAGTCAAGACAAATCTCCAACAATTAGATTCTATGCCTGGAAAATTAGAACCAATTTATAAATTTGCCATATATATCTATTTTTTTTCTTCTAATTACTGGGGAGGTCATCTTATATTCAGGGTCATCTGTGGGGTTTTTTGTAATTAATACAGTCTGCCAACTGTAACTCAAATGGATTCTTTATTTAAAATAGAGATGTCAAAAGAACATGCATTCTGTACAACAGGTTGATATCTTGGGGCTTTTAATGAGTTTTCAAAATCCTACCCATTAAAAATATAGTTAAAGAAACAATCATCATATGCACAAGGTGCGGGTGATGATGATGGTAATAATTTCGCCCCAACAAAGAATTTTTCTTTTCTGCTTTTCCCATGAACATGAGAAGTGTTTTCTTTTAAATGTAAAATTTGCTTGAGGATGGACAGCGTAATGCAATAAAATAGAATTTTCTCTTCCGCTAATAAACATTTTATATGGAAACAGATGGAGGTTTCTTTGAAAATATAACGGAAATCAGTATAGGAATTAAAACTTACAAACATCTGCTTCTTGCTTACTTGAATGCTGAGCATTAATGAAGAAGAATACCTTGCATTCGAAATCTTCTCTATCTTTATCCCAACCATGCAGTTGTCCAATAAAATATATTACCCTAAAAAACTTGCCTCTTGCATTAATTCATTTCATTTCCAAAGATACCTACATAAAATCCTCAGTTTGTGTCCAAAGATGCCATTATAAAATTTTCAGCTCAAAACCAGTGCAGATAAAGGTGTTTTAAACTTTCTGTATTTTCTAAGTTGCCAGTGTAATGGTGTACATCAGGAGTGCTCAATCCCCAGGCCATGGGCCAGATCCAACCTGTGACATTGTGTCATCCAGCTTGCAGGACTCCCCGCAGGTCTGGAAATTTGGCTGCAGGAGAAGGGTAGCACTACTTCCTTCCTATCAAATTTCTGGATGCATGGGGAGCCCCAGGTCCTGTGTGCTGGATGGGGCACCTGATCCTAGCAAGCAGGACCAGGTGAGGGTTGTGCCAAGTTCCAGGGCCCGATCAGTGTGCCTGGGCCCTGAGACCCAATCCTGGCATTTAGGGGGTGGAGGGATGGCTCTGGGACCCTACTTCCCCATTTCAACTCATGGGCAAGGGGGGGACAGGGCCCAGCCTCATGGTCACATCTGGCTCGTGGACTGGCCCCATGCCATTCATCTAGGCCATGGACCCAAAAGGTTGGGCACTGCTGGTGTACATTGTTGTTAACAAGCATTTAATACACCTGACTTTGACAGAAAAGCCTGTGCTCTAATCCTTTTATAACATTACTGTAGATTGGAAATATAGGTTCTTCCCACCCCCCATGTTGAATGGAGAAAAAATACCTTGTCATGGAATCAAGTAAATATGATAAATTACAAGAACAATACTTGTAGGCTAGATAAAATTACTGGCTGAACTATCAGATGAGGGGATGCCTCATTGCATTGTAGTGATCTGCTTTTTGGCACTAATAGAGCAGCTTGTCACCAAGGTAGATGGCTGTAAGGAAATCAGGAGAGACAGTGGACTTGTTTGTCCTGTGTTGGTGGCTGTGGCACCTTCCTACACCCTGCCCACCCAAGTCTGTCAATGCCCCAAGAGCCAAAGGATTGCCCAAGCTCATCCCCTGCACCCACTCAGCGGGCTGGTGAACTTCTGGCTCTGAAGCACATCAGCCACTTTGGGAGGACGGAGCATCCGGAGCCCCATGTGTTCCAAGATCTGCTGTTGCCAGGGTATCAACAAGTCCATGTTCTGTTTGGGCTATTTGAAAGGCCCACAGAACATCCGAATAAGGTTGAACTGGGTCGGCATATTGAAGGGGTCACATGGTTGTTGCAGAAAGTGGTGTTTGCTCCTCAGTAAATAATATTCTTCCCATGGTGTCAGAATTGAACAATGTCTCAACTTTATATTAGTAGGTGCTATTGGTAGAAGTGTGACCCCTTCAGCTGAAATTCAACACTAGTTCCCCCTGCTCTTTTGTTTGACACTTCTTTTTGCTAGTGTCAAGCTTTTGGAACTGTGCTAGGATGCCATTATGTCCAGCTGACCTGTAGTTAGTTTTTCCCTGCAGTTTCAGTGAATCACAATGTTTTTCTTCCCTTATGACTTCTGCCTGCTTTGAGGTGTGCAGTTAGATTGTTTTCTATGTTGTCCCAGATACAGCTGTATTTCAGGGCTAGGAGGACTGGACCCTATGTGTCTTACATGTTTATTTCCATTGCCTCATGATGGAGTCACATTGCTTGATTTGCTTTGATACTCTCTAATGAAGGGTTCTGTACCTACAAGAGCTGTGTTTATACGAATACTGATGAGGGGATGTATATGCTTTTTACTGTTGTGTTAATGTTAAAATATACTTGGATAAAGAAAGAAAAGGAGCTGAAGGAAAAGTCCATTCCAGTGTGAGATGCTTCAGCATCCAATAAAGCTTGTACCCTGATATGAAAACATTGCATAACATTTGAATCCTGATTAAAGAAAGGAGTACTGTGAAATAACCATTAGTAAACAGTGGTGGGGAGAAAGCATTACAGCACATGCAGGATTTCCAATATTATGTTAGATGGTATTCAGATAATAAAAAATTGGGAGAAAAGATTGAAAAGTGATTACAATAACTTCATTGTTGCAGTGTTTGCTGTTGTTTTGAACTCTGTCGTCGACCACCTAAGCTGAGAGAAGTCTCTTGGCTCCTATTTGTTTTCTTTTCCAGCGATATTGAGATTTCCCGAGCACAGAGTCCAAAAGCTGTTGATGTTCTTGCCAAAGAGATAGGATTGCTTGCAGATGAAATTGAAATCTGTGGCCAAACCAAAGCCAAAGTACGTTTGTCCCTGCTGGAGAGGTTAAAGGATCAACCAGATGGAAAATACATCCTAGTTGCTGGGTAAGAAGATATACTAAACTTGCCTTGCCTCTCTTAACATGACCATGCAACTTGTATGTTCTCACTTCTTCACTTATTGGATAAACTGCCCAATTGCAAGTTTGCCATACTTGGTACATCACATATTTCCTCTATTCTGCAAATGTTTGGTGTGGTTTTTCCTAATTTAAAAAGAAAGAAAAAAGAACAAAATACAACCTTTCTTCAAATCTGTAAATAAGAAGCTGTGTACATGTTTATAGTAGGTAGATTAAGTTCAGCATCTTAAATACCTTCTATAGCTTCGTGATATTTTTTTCCTGTCTCATCAGCTTTTAAAAAGTACAGTAATTTTGTACTGCGGCTGCTTATAAACATACTTCAATAGAAGCAGCATGGTAAGCTGTTGGTATGAATTATAAATACTTCTTTTTAGTGAATAGCAAATTGCATAGTTAAATAAAAATTATTATTTTTCCCTAGCAGTGTAGACATGTCTCCACGCAGGCTTACCCAACTCTCGGCTTTCATAGTTATTTGAAAATACTTTGTTCCATCTACCTCTGTTTTGAATCCTTTTCTCGCTCGCTGGGAAACAAAATTATTTTCTTGTGAACATCATTTTTAAAATGGAAAGTTTTTCATTCGGTGAGGTGATAATATGAAGATTCCCACGAATAATTACATTTCAGCATGTTTTTGGAGTAGATTCTTTTGGTGCCTCTCTACTTTATAAATGAAGCCTGTAGAAGTGCACTCCTTTTTTTCTTTCATATGAAGTGATAAGTTGCAGGTAAAGTTTGACTAAACTTCTCCATTGGAAATTTCATCATTTTTTGGCAACCAGGTATAGGGTACAAAAGACCTGCTTTTTTGAGAAGGAGGGGGGAGAATGATGATATGGGGATTTTTTTTTTTCTCATTGCCAAATATTAATCCATGGCTAATGACCTCCAGTGGTGTTTTCTAAGCACTCACAAATACAGTTTGTTTTAGCATGTGCTTGTTTGGCAAGTCCTTGTATCGGTTTAGTAAGCTTTCATTGTAAGATAAAGACAGTGGACCCTACAGTTTCCTAAGCTGCCATCAGTCAAAGCCGTGACATGGAATTGGAACAAGCAGAAATGTTCTTTGTAGGAGTTTTAAAAGGTTATTAAGAGAAAATAATTAAGGCTCATAGTTTGAAAATTAAGACTGCTATGTATATTTGTTGGAGGGCCTGTTTGGATTTTAATTATACAGGAGTGAAAAACAGTTTCTTTCAGCCTTTGAATGTTTTTGAAGAAGAAAATGATCCTGCTCTTCTGGTTCTAAGGTGCTGCTGTTCCTGCAAGATTTAGACACTGGGAGAAAGCAAAGCTGGCTCCCAAGCCCCGCCAGAGTAACACCTTGCACAGAGGATAGATCACTCTAAATATACCCTGTTCATATTCTTTCCTTCTAAACCAGCCACTCCTGTCATTGTGAGAGACTGGATACTGGGCTAAATGGTTGGACCCCAGTATGACATTTTTTATGGTCTTACATTGTGTTCGTAACTATAATGATTTCTATATTTCTACATATACATTTTATTCCACTCTATTGGAAAAATTAATTGTATATGATGTCTGTGTTACAGAAACAAAGCTAATCTTTATATATAGTCTGTCCTGTAAGCTACTGGGCAGTAGTATTATTTTCTTTGGTATGATTGTGAACTTTTGTGCCCCGCTCCCCCTATCAGTAGATTAATTGTTTCACTGCCTGTGGCAATTTGTAACATTTTGGACAAATCCAAACGCTCCTTTTGTTTGTCATCCAGCATAGAAAACTTCATGTCAACACACTTCAGGTGTGGACAGAATTTGCAGCACTACATGTGTCTCAGCATTTGGTAGCCTGACAAAATAGAGTGTTATGAGGGGTATACTTGGCTGGAGCACAACAAAGTTGCCCACTGGGCAGGTGTCAACTTCCCTTGTTAGGCTGCACCCTGTCAAAGTGTGCTGCTGTTCCAGTGACTGCTTCCACTGCCTGACAGATCACTGCCTTGCTGCTTCTGCTCCTCCTCTGCCACTCCTGTGCTGTGATATCAGTTGTCATTTGTGTCATCTCCAGTGCCACTGGTTGTGGCAGCAGTGCTCTTGCCATGATGCTAAGTAGAACTGCTGCCTCCCCCAAGACTGGAGCAGTACCAGACTCTGTGGCAGCACACTCTGGCCAGTAGAGTTGCAGTCCTCTGTCTTGACTGGGTTGCAGCTTTGCTCCCAGCAAGTTATCAAGGAGCCATCTGCTTCCTCCATACCCACCCTTTCCCCCTCATGGTGGTGGGGGGAAAAGAGAGAGAGGAACTCTAGGATGTTAGGGAGTCAAGAGACCTCTCTGTATTTTTCCATATAACTGGAGATGCCATATATGTGGCACTACAAAGCACAGTGCTACAGAGAAGTTCCTGCTTCTTCAAATAGGAATATTTTTATAGTCCTGCAGGAGACGTACACATCTGTCACCTTGACTTTCGTAGTGCTGAAGAGGCCTCTGTAGTGTGACAAATGCAATGTCTTTTCACAATCTTAAATATCATAGTGGTGGGCGTGATACAAAACCTTCCCCTTGATTTTCCATCTGTATGTTTTTAAGTGTCCCAAAATCATGTGGATTTCATTGCTTCCTTGTCCAGTCTCTAGTCAGTTTCACTGGAAGGAGGTAAAGCATGTGGGAATGTCAGAATCTGGAAACCTAATAACATATCTTGCTATTAAAAATATTGCTTTCTAGATTTACCAGCAATAATATTTTTAAAGGTTTTTTCCCCTCTAACTTAAATAGATGTTCTGTGAGATGAACTAGGTTGTCAAATGTAATTTCTATCAAAGTATATTTTGACTAAGGTTTATTAAGAAAAAGATGTGTGGCAATGAAAAGTATAGGTACCTTGTGTTGTGATGCGTGATTGTGTTCTCTGCTACAGGACTTGTAGGCTGTTTAAAAGAAAAAGAGGGGGGGAGGCAGTAGAGGAGGCAGACATTACAAAAAATCACCTTTTTACTAATGCACTTCATTTAATAGCCTGAAGTTAAACCCCTAGTGAAACAGCTTACCACTCACTACACTCTTCTGTTTTAGAACTGGTTGAGTTATATCATGTTATAACCTATACTAACAAGACATAGATCACCTGTAGATCCTATTCCAGTTACTGAAGGGTGAGAATCAGCTACTGATTCTAAGGCCCCTAATAGGCATTATTACCAGGTAATATTGATCAATGGAAATTGTTGTGCCATGTGACTTAGTTCATGTTCACAACATTTCTTTAATGTAAAGCAGCAGCAGGTCATGCTTTTTCAGATCCAGAGGTCACAGTTCAGTCTTGCTTATCATGTCCCTTCCCGGGCACTGTCAGACTGTATAAGACCACTGATGTAAGCTAAAGCAAACCAGTGTTTGGTTGTGTAAAAGAAGTTATCTAAAAACCTTGTTTTGTAAATAATTAGGATGGTTGTGACCATTCAGGTGAGGTTAAGCCATTTATCAGAATCCTTCCAAATGTAAACTTGCACGACCATGCATAGGTCAGATTTGTACAAGTAACATTAGAATCACTAGTGCCAAGTAAATAATACTGAGAAAGCTTAGAAAGATAATGTAGCATCATTTTGCAGCATATAGAGCACAATGTTTTTGCTGAGCTCATAACAATAGTCCTAAGTGTGAGAAGGTTACAGCTGGTGTAGTGTATCATCTCAGTGTTAGTATGTTTATTTTTTCTTTCTGTCAGACTTCATGTGGTTTTCCCACAGAAATATTTCCACTATAAGCTGAATGTGGTGTATAACAAAGGCTGGGCATATTTTTCCTTTGTCTCTATGTTCATATCAAAAGAAAAAAAAGGTAGAAAATTTATTTTGTCAAGAAACTGGTGACCCTATGGTAGAAAGCAAAACAAGGAATCACAAGTAGGGGACCAGTGGAAGCAGAGGGAGGGAAATAATTATAGAGGCTTTTTCTGCTTATATTGAAAATCAGAGGAAGTAGATGTGTGCATGAGTCTTTTAAACTTGAGGGAAAATTGAGTGTTTAAAATTAATTTATCCCAGTTTTGCTTAAAATCAAAACACAGGATTAAGTTCTAAACGTGGCCTTTCTAAAAAATATGCAACAAACAAAACGTTACTCATTGGCAGCCATAATGCTCTCATTTTTTCACATTAGTAAAGTAAGATGTAATTGTGGGGGATGCAATAGCATAAATGACACCAGCAACGATAAAGAAGAAATTCAATCAAATGTATTGATGATGTTAAATATAAAATGACCCAAATTGAAGTAGATGGAAAGCAGGAAGAATTTATATAAAGCCTTCTAATTGAATATATTTTGAGAAGAATGCAAATAATTTACTTTAACTGCCAACTGCTAGCTCCTTTTTGATAATGAAATTCTGAAAGTCTGGTGATCCATTTAAACTACAAGGTGAACCTGCAGAATTTCAAGGTCTCTTGGAATTTTCCACCCCCTTCCAGCCAGGAGAAATTTAGCAAAGCTGCTATCCCGCGAAAGCAATCAAATAATTATCATTCCATGAAAAAAAAACCCTGCTCTTGTATCCCATGCAGTCCCATCCAAGCTGTAGGGGAAAATCTAAACAAGCTGCTCCATTTTGTATATTACAAAAATCATTACCTTTAACAACCTAACTCTTATATATCATGATATACAGCACCCGACAAAGCAGGCTATAGCCTATGAAAGCTCATGCTTTTGGATCCTTTTCCTGCTTATTTTATTACTCTAAGGGATTTTAGAAGAGCTATAGCTGTTCAAGGCTTTAATCTTGACCCCTGCTGACTTCCTGCCCCTGGGGCAGGGGGCT